TAAGTAAGTAAGTAAGTAAGTAAGTAAGTAAGTAAGCAAACTTTATTCATTTAAAACCTTTCACAGACACAAACATCACAAAGTGCTTATCCGAGAGCAAAATAAAACAGTAAAAACAGGTCACAAATAACTAACAATAAAAAAAAAAGAAACTGAAAGCAAAATTTAACTAAAAGTCTGTCTAAATAAAAACGTCCTAAGACGTTTCTTGAAAGAGTCGGGGGAATCTAAGCAGCAAAGGGACAGAGCGAGAGAGAGAGAGAGCATCCCAGAGCCTCAGGCCAACACCTGAAAAGCTTTGTCTCCACCTGTATTGTAGTGGGTTTGAGGGACCACCAGCAGCATTTGATTTGAAGACCTCAAAGTCCTGGATGGACAGAGAAGGCCTGACCATGAAGTGCTCTAAAGTTTAAAACCAAAGTGGCATTAAAGATGTGTAACTCAGGGTGAAAGTAAATCCAGATTAGAAATAAAATAAATCAATCTATTAAAATGTGCACTAAAATGATCAAACTCTTTCACCCTCCGACAACGAGAAAAACCATCAGTTTAAAAAAATCTGTTGTTACATTTCTACTGACTAATGTTGAACAGGATTATTGAAAGATTTCATATAAAAGTTTCCAAATGTCTTTGCCCTTGAGGAAAGACATCCCACATTATAAGTAAATGAAACCACTTGCCATTAATTGTGCTTTGCAAATGTGATTATCCACAGCTGTCAGAGCGCACACACACAAACTGCACAGAGCGAGATCTTCTCACTTCTCCTCCTGCCACACCTAATTTCATTATTCTATTAAATCAGGTTCATTAACTGTGGCAGAACACAGGAACCTCACTGCTGAGGTTTGATAAACACAGGAAGGTGCAGAAACGAAGCAATATCTTATTTGCTGCTTCGCTCTCTGTTTTGTTATTTTCAGTTAAAAGTTGTTTCTCTATAAACAAACCATTTCAAAATATTTCACTTTTTCATGGATTTTTTTTTTTTTTTTTT